CTCTACCAGTTTAGTCTAGACCGAAAACTTTATTACCTTTTACTGTCACCTCATGACCTTGATGCGAGACACACAATAGACAATTTTCAACTTTATATCATCCATTGTCAACCATTTTAATGAAAAGGTTGTGTAACGCGTCGCGGGCATCGTTGCTTTCACACTAATGACGAGACCTTGATTGTTGCTGGCGACACAGAAACTGCTTTTATTAAAGATCTTAACGAGCATTTTCCTTTTCAAGGTAAGCAGAGTCTATACGAGCTTCACTAATTGGAAGTTTCTCTATTTTCTGCTCCATTTTCATAATAAAATTATCAATACATAGTATAAAACAAAGTCGCTTTCGCTGTATGTCCGTATGTATGCTTAGATCTTTAAAACTACGCAACGGATTTTGATGCGTTTTTTTTAATAGATAAAGTGATTCTTAAGGAAGGTTTGTATGTATATACATATTGCACCCGTGTGAAGCCGGGGCGGGTCGCTAGTACTTAATAAGTTACAGTTTCATCTTGAAATATTTATCCCAATGATAGCATACATTGCATTATTGGCAGTTAGCCGAATATGGTCTTCATAATAAGTCAGAAGATGAGACAACACTATAGAACAAAACTCTTCTTTAGTCTGAAATGCTAAAATATTACACAATAAATCCATTCTATTAAAAAAAATCTTGTGGTGATATTAAGAACAGTTCTTTTAAACATTAATAATACTTAAAATTACCACAGTCTCGTCTATTTGCCGTTTCATTTCGAACAGAAATTCTTTTCCTTCAAAAATCTCAGGCACGCTCAGAAGTTACTATATTTTTTTTCGTTCCAAAATTAGCGTGAAAATGTTTAACGTTTTCGACAGCTTTTAAGCTAATGAGCTGGCCTTGACTTCTGGCCTAGAATGGAGTTCAAGCAATTATATACAAGTTAGGCAACATTTTTGATGGCCGTAAGAGCTGGAATTCCGCGTAATTTGAATTAACCTGAATATTTTCTTCGAGTAATAAAAGCTTTTAGTTTTATACATTATTTTGTGGGAATTTGTGTTGTATATACATATGTTGTGTTAAAGCAAAAATTTGATTGAGCATATTTATATCATTTCCAGAACATACCTATCGTTTATCTTATACAGCAAAAAGAAATCGGATAACTTTTACGACATACTTCAATCGATCAAAATAATTATAAAAAAATCCTCATAAAACCGTATAACATACACCATTCGGATAGGAATAAAATCCGAGCGAACGCCAGGAAACGGTGGGTAGTCGTAAAACATAAACGCAGCCTGATATTGCGAAAAACCCAATCGAGTTGATATTTCGCAACCGAAGCAGCCAATAAGTTACCATAGACTTGTATTGGATGGAGCTGACATACTCTAAATACATTTGTAGCTTTACGATGATAATCGTAGTAAAAAGATAAGTTAATAATATAAAAAAAATACAATATTAATTAAAACACAATGTAAAACTATTTGTGTATAGTTTTGTTGCACATTACTTTAGATTGTAATTCATACTAAGTGTCTTTAATGAAATAAATAATAATGGAGTGTACATTTAGATTCATACGAGTGTAAGATGTTTCTATTAAAACTTTCGTGAGACATAGTAAAATAATTATTAGGTATATTTTTGGCCTACTCACGTAACTGAATCGAAGTTCATGAACGCCTCCAGCATAGCTTGAAACTAGTCGAGTTCCTCGTATGTAATAGATGCTTGTATCTTTATGGTGTTATTATGATTTCTGTGACATTATGTGATCAAGTTTCATATTAAAATAAATTGTAGAGAGACATATACATTATTTTTATGCAAGCATCATTGTGTCTATCGTCAGATAAATTGGTATGTGAGCTTTTTATTCATATTTTTATACATTGTCAGAATTATGCCGGTTTAATAAATAAAAGTCTTTATTGTAGCGTACATATTCTCAATTATGGTGCGACATAATAGAATGAAACCCTCTTAATTACAAGTTTCTATTAAACATACACTGTAAAATGACATTAAATACGTCAAAGTTAATAAATTTAATAACACGATGGTACTATATAATTTCGTTCATAACAAGAAAGAGCCGCGTTTAACTTAAACAGACTGCAACGAAATTGAATCTTCTATGAAAATATGAATTTGAAATCCATTTAAGAAACTTCAGAATAGACCTCTTTGTACGTTCTTGTCTGTGGTCGTAAATTAAAAAGTTTACGTAAGAATTTTGTATTAAAGTGGAAAGTTTAAAATTGTATACAGTCGCACTGTAGAGGTCGCACTATTTTCTTATTGAGGAGCTGAACTTTTGTTTGTGTCTTATCAATATATTTTTAAAGAAATATTCTTGAATCGTCATGTTTATCGCATAAAATATATTAATTATTTCCCTTAACATTTTAACAGCAAACTGTAGAAAGTTCTGGTACTCTTTCTGCACACATCTCATTTGCGCCATGCCGTATCCATTTACTTTAACTCTATAGTCCCGTGGCCGTGTAAATGATTTTTATTTCAATACGAAAATGCGAGATCCTGTATAAATCAAGGGCTCCCCACGCTTTGGTGTCAAAACGTCGATTCAACCCATTACTGCGTGACTTTGGATATTTCTAACGATACTTTACTACGTGGTGAATGGTTATGAACTGAATGACGCTCTACTTTGTTTAATTTCATTAGTTTATTGAATTGAGTGATTTATTTGATGTCGAAGTTTAAGTTTATAGGTCTCTACTGTGTGACATAAATCAAATGTTTGATTCCTAAGAAGATTACCGAAGTTTATAAGATTAAATGAAAGTCTTGTCACACAATACAATTTAGGGTGACGAAATACAACGAGTGACTTAGCAATTGCTTTGCTTTATTTTAAAAAAGAAAATAGAAAGCTCTTTTTATTATTTTTTTTATGGTATAAGCCGGTAAACGAGCAGACGGATCACCTGATGGTAAGCAATCGTCGTCGCTCATGGACACCTGGAACACCAGAGGCGTTACAAGTGCGTTACCGGCCAATTGGGGATTAGGAGTTTGAGGATCGTTGGGGATTCGGGGATTGGGGAGATTGGGGAAGGGGAGGGTAATTGGGCTTCCGGTAACCTCATTCACACGACGAAACACAACGCAAGCGTTGCTTCACGTCGGTTTTCTATGAGGCCGTGGTATCCCTCCGGTCTAGCCAGCCCATTCGTACCGAAACATGGCTCTCCCACACTTAAATTCTTCACCACTTATAAAATAAATCATATCTCAATTATTTATTCTTCAGTATACTCAAGTACACAAGAGTACACATAATCCATAAATTCAATAGAACAACTTGATTTAAGGCCGTCTCACACATCATCGGTAGCTGCCACAAAATTGACGTCACTAAAATATGGCGCCGAGATCCGCGCTGACAATACATGTCTACGTCATCATGTCATGATTTGTGGACTGATGCTGATGTCTGTATTTTGATGCGGATTTTGGGCATTTGAATCTGGATAACTGCGTATGTTTGAGGTTTTGTGTAGCAAAGTTATAGGTGTTAGAGACTGTGTTTGTAGTTGGGTTGGTATTTCGTTTGTTTAGTTACAGCATGTTTTGGTGATGATTATGGACTTTATTTGATTAAGATAACGTATAAAGTTACAATTCTAAATCAGATAATAATCTAAGTTAAACTTATGAACTGTTTAACACATGAAACCACAAAAATAAGTAAAAAGGTCTTACTGTTTTGCTCCTCAAATGTATCTATATTTTATGGTTTGCTGAGGCTCCGGCCCGTAAAGCAGTAGTAAGAATGAGGTGGTTTTTAGACAGTAAGAGTCTGACACTTCGTCTAGCCTCACTCAAGGCGGGAAAACTCATTGGATGATTAAACCCCCGCCATCGGGTATGTATTTTTATATTTCCAAGTGTAAATATATAGAACCAGAACAAGCAAGGTGAATAATACCTTTTTATGATACTGAATTATTTTTACTACTACAATAGAATTTACTAAACTCAATTCCTCCGCCTAAAATGATCCTAACCACACGCTAAAGTCAACGTCAGAAGTTAGTACTGGACTATCCCTTCTCTATTTACTCAACTAAATTTTATCCGTGGATTAAACTCAAACACAAATGCTGTGGTCAATGGTTCCACGTGTAATATTTGCTAAGCGAAGTCAACTGAATTTGCATGACATTCCAATCAAAAGATAATATTTGCCAGAGGTTGTGTACAGCCAAATATTATTTTTTCATTAGCCAACAAGAATGGCTGGCTTATAAACATGTACAAATAAGGGCGTGGTTCGAATACTGCATGGATGCCTCCGTATTCTATTGTTGGACAACGAAATATCTTGTTTTCTGTGTAGGTACCTACTGGTGTTTGTGAGGTTTAGTTGGTACTAGGTACATAAATAGTGATTTTGTAAGTGTGCGTACATTGTGTAGTTGGCTGTGTGTTGAGTCTGTATATTGTTAGATTTCTTTTCAAATGTTGATGTTTTGGATATTTTGATAAGCTCTGCGGCCTCTGCATTCCTTTTGAATGTATTGGCATAGAGATATATACAATTATACATAGCTTATAATACATAATAATATTATGGTATTTTTTGGATTTTGTCTCTTATTTAGTACGAAGTTTAATACCATGTAAGAGATTCCTTATTACTTCTAAAATATATATCATTTTACAAATATATCAGTATTTATAAAAAATCAAATAAGTAAAAGGTTTCCATCAACCGATTCGATACTAAACTGAAAATCTAAGCGATGTCGTGAGGAAATCTCTTAATATATATATGTTCAGGAAAGTTTGGTTGTCAACTCGTAAGTGGTGGAAGTTCGCTGATTGCTCCAACTTGCTGGTAACGAGGAAATATATTACCGACTCGTCAAATAATTTATAATATTATTTTTTCTACAAATTTCTTAGAATTTTATTCTAATCATAATTTATGTTCATTGTATTAATGTTATATTTGTGTTTGTTTTAGGGTGTTGCTGATGTGAATCATCGTTATGTAGTGTGAGTATTACTTAGTTATTTATTTGACTGCTACATTAGCCGAGCAGTCGTAAGTGCGACAGCCGGGCAAGGAGTCTCGGGTTCGATTCCCAGATCGCGTAAAGCATTACTGGGTTTTTAAAAAATTCTCAGTAGTAGCACGGAGTTTGAAAATGTGTCCGGTAAATTGATTCAATTTTTTTGCGACTCATTGTTTATTTTTAAAAATCGATCCATATTGTCAAAACATTTACAGTCACAATTTTTTGTCATACATACAGGCTTATTCAAAGTAAAGTATTGATCATAATATATTAAAAGCACACACAATAACATTTGTTTTACAGTTCAGATAAAAATAGACTTTAAACTAAATAATTCTCTTATAGCAACAAAATAATTACAGCAACAATACTCCGACATTATTTTTAGAACTAAACACAAATGAACATATCATTAACAAAGTATATAATTATCAACACCAAAGTACCTTTCGGTTGTACTCATATAATTATCATCCGTACTGTGAGGCCCAAACTTAGGCCAAGAACATTAATATTTGATGATGTCGAGCCAAATAGGAGCAGGCCAGGCCAGATATATAACGGGCTTAAGCAAAATGAGTTATTGTGACTCCATGGGTCCCCATCTGTCATTATTTGCGTATAAATGTGACCTCTAAGTAAAATGTATGTTGCTCGAAAGAGGTGCTTCTGAATAGGATATTTGGACCTCTTTGCGTGGTCGATGTCAAATGAGTGGGTTTTTAAAGGAATAAGGCTCTTATGGGTTGGGTTTTATGAGATGTTTTTTTCTTTTGAAATTGTTTACGAATATTGTGGATGTTCCATGCAGGGTAAATCCTTTTATGCCCGTTCATATTATATAATGCTTTAGTTTTATAAATATTATTTAATACTGTTTATAAATTATATGCACCATATTATAATAAACCTTTGTGAACATGATCGAAAAAGAGTAACCTATGGAGTTTCTTGCTCGTTTTTCTCCATAGGAATCTACACTTCGGAAAGAGTAAATAGCTTCACTAGAGGACTGACCTACAGACTGACATTTTTTCTTATTATTTAATATTAAAATATTTTGTTTTGACGTTCAAAAGTACCTTCCTGGTTTAATTTAAATAAATGATTTTGACTTTTGACCTCATTTTTGATGAAGATTGGTGGGAAAAATACGATTTTCATAATTTCAAAGTTAAACAACAATTTCGCTGTTGTTATAAAACTGATTTGCAATTAATTAATATTTTTAAATGCCGTCGAATACCATTACCCTTGAAAGTACTACCAATATCCAAAAAAATCTCCCATTACGAGTACATCAATCGAGTTACGTATGAGTCCAATTTTGCCAATAAATACATCTTATAAACGGGTATAAGATAAAAATCAAGATTGGAACTATATCAAAGGCGAACCGCAATGGGCATCGTTAAAGTTTTATTAGTGTATTACCGTTTTATAACAAAGAATATCGAGAGGCAGCTTGCTTGCTATAAAATCCTATGTTTCTGACGGCTAGAGTTGAGTTATGAACTGTTAGCGATTTTTGATAGCTAATTAGCTGAATTGGGGGTCATAATTCATGTGTATTTTATTGAATGTTGATGGGTTATTTTGTTTGGATAGTATTTTTTCTTTTTATGATTATTTTATGAATCATTTTCTTATGTCTATGTAAGTTAATAGTTGCATTAAACAACCGAATAGCCATAACTAAAATATTGATTTTGACTGTCTCGTTGGCCGAGTGGTCGCAAGTGCGACTGCCGGGTAAGGGGCTTCAGGTTCGATTCCAGGGCCGGGCAAAGAATTACTTGGATTTTAAAAATTCTCAGTTGTAGCACGGATTCTGGAATTATGCCCAGTATGTGGCAATAGGCCCAACCCCTATTTCATGTGACTCATAACATAAATAAGTGAAAAGTGGGTATAATATGGTACAGTGGCATTAAATATCGTAATGTGCACCTCTGCCTATCCCTTCGGGGATAAAAAGTGTGATGTTATGTGTAAAATTTTGATCTCTTTAATAATCTTCTTTGGTCTTATTGAAATAAATAATTACAACTTGGAATTCAACAGAAAACAAATAAAATGTTTGTATTATTTTCTTCGTTTTCCAAGTTAGCAACAGCTACGTTAACAACAAAAAATGTTGATTATTTTTTCTCTTTATTTTATAAACCAACATTAATATTACCACATGACCTTGGAAGGCCATATTACATTCCAACATTTCCAAATATATTTATTATGCCAGAGTAAAACACACAAGAAGAGAAAATCAAACAGCCAAAACTGTGTACACCCTTTAACCTATACCACACGTAAACAAACCCACCCTGTATAACTTCGTTTCCTTTGAGCGTGACCTCTTTGTAAACCAATTGAATTAAATAAATAAATAGTACACACTTAAAAGAATTGCTAATGAAATACCGATTCTAAACTGTCAGACATTTAAAGTTCAAAATTTTTTGTTCCGACTATTATTGCTAAAGTGATAAACGAGAGGAATGTATATTTTTTGTAATGACTTCTTGCTCGTAGCTCTCGTTTTCAGTATTGTTTTTCTGCTTAATCGAGCAAGGAATAAAAGAGAAGATTCGTTTGTTTGTTATAAAAATAAGAAACGTGACGATTTTTTTTTTCATTTTAATGACATTTATTGGTTAAACTAGAATAGTGCAGATTTTACAAGAGGTTCTTTTCTGTCCACGGTAAAGAACTAAATAACCGATATCTACGTAGAGCCCAGTAAAGTACATAACTATTAATATTCAAAACCCATTTTTTATTCTAAAAGCATCACTTCCAGCTACCACTAAAACCACCAATTACAAAAAATACAAAAAAAATACCAACCAATTTTTCCGAACAACCCAATTTAATCCCAAAAAATCTCATCAATAAATCCATCGATAACTAATACTCCACATCACTAGTTTGACAAAGGTAAACCCTTCCGTTTTGTGACCGCAAAAACTATAGGGATGGGCAACATACGTCTGATACCGGGACTTAATTAAACAAATTAGTTGTTTGGGCCGGGATTAATGCGGGGTTCCGGGAATTTGTCATGTGAGCTTAAGGGATGCTGATGTCTTATTGCGATAGTTGTAACTCAAGAAACTTGGGCGTAAGGTCTGTGGACGTGTGTTTGGACATTGCGAGGTATGAATGTATCTGCAAATTAAAATATATAGTCGGTTAACGAAGACGATACTAATATTGCAATGATTTAAGTTCTGTGTTATAAATGCAACATGGTTAAAAGTGCCATGATTTTTCAACTAATAGCAAAGAAACTAACTGTCTACAGACGGCGAGCAAGTGTAGCTCTCCGCCTGACCAGAACCAGACCTATGGGTACGGCGCGTCGCGTTCCACGCGCGAGTCAAAGAGCCATTGGGCTACTACAGATGGGGCCTAGTAGGGCTGAGGCCTGATACGGAGCCGTGGAAGGCCAAACGGGTTGCCGGGGCTCCGAATCGAAGAGCAGGAACAGAAACGGGGTGGTTTTTAGTCAGTAAGAGTCTAACACTCCCTTTCGCCCAACCCAAGGCGAGAACAGCCATTGGATGACTTTTCCCCTAAAAAGGATACCATTATTTTTCATTCATATAAGCATTATATCTTTGACTCCAAAAAAAGAAGGATATTCGACTTGCGTGCATGTATGCGCGATAATCTTGCGATTGGCTTAACCGATTTCGATGCGGTTTTCAGAAAAGTGGAGAAAGTTTTAGTAGTAACCGAATTTAGAAAAAGAATAGGTTAAAGCCGATTTTTAACGTAGTTTATAAAAGGATAGTTGATTAATTACTCTAAATTAAAATCTCATCCAAAGTAAGTTTGAAAATTGGTATGCAATAGAGGAGTATATCTACTAGTTAAAATAGTTGATTAACTTGTGTATTAAAAATCGCATTACAAAATAAGTTCGAAACATGTTATGCAATTACCGAGTATCTAGTAGCCAAAAACTATAAAACAAAAAATGTTCTGCCTTTACTTTGTGTGCTCATTGGTTATCACAAATGTTTAAACTTTCATTTTTACATAACACTTTATTAGCAGCTGATTAAAATAATGTCGCAGTGTTGACCTTAATGGTGTTAAATTTGATCATTAAGACAACATCGGTTCAGAGGTCAGGCAGTAAAGTTCCAGCGTTTTTATTATATCCACTCTGTTTAATAAATTATTACACAGCATAGTGACTGAGATACCGGCTGCTGTACTTCGTGTCGCAGGTAATATTCGATCCGATATTGTGTTGTAACTTTTAAGTGGTTCATTTATAAATATTTTCAAAAATGATTGAGAAGTTTATCAAACTATATTATCTATCTTTTCTTTTTTATAAAACGTTGCTTCACTCTAGGATTTTTTCCTGTGTCGTGGGTAACACACAAGATCACATACACATGAGATCCGAAACAACAAACTGTGGATCACACAAAGAGTTGTTCCGTGCGGGAATCGAACCCGCGGCAGCCAGTTGCCCAGCCACCAACCGTGCAGTCAAATCAATCAAAAATAAAATAAGCTTTAAACAGAAGCAATACGCTTCAAAATCGTTTATCATTTTTTTCCCTATTAAATTCAATGTTCGCACAGTTTTTGCACAATAATTCATGATAAATTAATTTAGTGACAGGAAACAGCCATTTGGAGATAAATCTATTGATGATAATGTAAACGTATTTTAAATAATAGCCTTTTGTGGGCTTATTCTGAATAGTTTTGCGATAAAATTTACGTTTTATGATGTCTATACAAAAGTAGATAGTGTTGTCTTCATTTTTTTTTAAATCTTTATTTATTTAGAGGCTTTTCCCTTACAAAGGTATATATATCAGCGTCATCATACCCTAATCTTACTTAACTAACTACATTTAATTATAATTATATACTTATTGCTATGCTGCTTTACTTATTCCTGTGTAAGCGAGGGGGATAGTGCTGCACCAACCATTTCATAAATAAGTT